CAGCCCAACCCCTTTGCCTCAATGCAGGTCGGGCCAGAGTCATTGCTAGCCTTAGTCGCCTACTCTCCAGGCGAATCGGATTTGAACACGCCCTAGTGAGAGCCGTATTCCGACTTTTGCCGATGTAGGTTACCATGTGAGCAATCCGGTACACGTCACACAAACCGCTAACGAGAATTGGGTTGGTTTATAAATAATAAGAGATAATAAATTTCATTGTAACTTTTATTCACATATTTTAATCATTAATAGTATTAGCCCCATGAACGTGGTAGTTGTGGAATACGACTCGAAACGTTTGTTTTGAAGCCTACCTCCCGCTGCCTCGTCACTACCATCAATTTCACATAGGATAGATGAGCAACAAAGAGCCATAGAAATGTAGCAGTCAAATGATTCTATGCTCCGGCGGGAGCATTTTTGCCATTCACTCATTTGGGCAAAACCAAACATGGGAGTATTTTTTGGGCATCAAATTTTTGGGGTTATTCCTCAATTTAGTGACCATACTCAGGAAAAAATAAAAAAAGAAATTTCAATTGTACTGTAAATGTGCCTAAAAAATAATGTCATCAGATTAACGAAGTTATTCAATTTTACAATTAAAATAAAAGATAGAGCATCAAATTTTTGAAATATTTGATATAATCCAAACTCAAAATCGATTTTTTTTTTTAATTTTGAAATATTTATTTAAATTTTTAAATTTTTAAATATTGAAATATCTTTTTAAATTTTTTCAAGATGTAAAAAGACTCCATCTTAGCTTCGTAGCTGGATCTCAAAAATCAAGATATAAAATAGTGTTCAACAAATTGAACCGGACCCGGAAACTGTCCATGGGCCAGGTCTGAGTAACCGGTCAACTGGCTGGTTCAACTGGCCTAATCAAGCAGGTCCTGGCTGGTCCAAAAAAGGTTAAAAAAATAGAAATACAAAAAATTCAAAAAAACATGAAAAATATATTTAAAACATAATGGAAAAAGTTTATATAAGTGCGAGGATCTAAACAATCAAATTAAAGCACACCTCAAAATTTTCACTAAAACAGGTTGTTTTGATGCTCAAATATCTTCAAATTGATAATCTCGACTTCAAGATGCATGGACATCAAAAAAAGTAGATTTCAAGTTTTACAAATATTGCATCTTGTAATGCATTTTTTGACAGTCAAATTTGAAACTTTTCAAGTTTGCATAGATCTGCTCGATCTACACTATTTTTGAAGGTTTAAATTTTACAATTAGACATGAAAATAAATTTTAATGCTATCACAAAAATTTCCAGCATTGACACCACGTTCCCTGATACTATTTGAAAGTGCATCTTACTTTGATTGTTTAGAGCCTCAGCTATATACAAATGGCACCCAAACATGATTAAACAAAACACACACAAATGAAGTTGAAAGTTGTGAAAAAAATGGATTTTAAAATATGGATTTGTGTCTATGGGTATTTTTGAAATAATTTAAAAAAGATGAGAAATATAAAAATAAGTATTCATAGCCCAAATGCTTTCCAATCTTGGCCTAAAAGATAAAAAAAACATTAAAAAACACATAACAAAGAAATCCATTATTTTTGGGGATTTTACATTGTTTTTATTTTTTAATTTTTAAATACCCCACCAAACCACCTAAACCCGCAAAAACCGGATTGGCCAGTGCCAAGTTTCAATTTGATCGGCTGGTTTCGAGTTGGACCGACTGACTTTGCGAAGAAAGAGTCTCACTCGAGAGCATAGTAAGCAAGTCGCCGATTTAATCGCGGCTTTTTCAAAAAATTGGTGCTTTCTTGAAAATCGATTTAATCTGTGACTTTTTCAATAGATCGGTAAAAATATGTGATCTTTTCAAAAAGAAGTTTAAAACGTAACATTTTCAAAATTTGAAAATCTTGTTTCAAGAAAACTTTTCTATTAATATACTCTGATTTTTTTTTTTGAAAAGTTCAATATCTTTTTCTTGTTTTATAAAATTTCTATTTCTATACTCCGGAAACTTTATTTGGTTCTAGAAAGTTCTCTGCTATAGATATGATGCTTATTTTTTCGGGTAGTTATGGGTAGGCCATAGTTAGCAAGTATGGTTAGATTATTTGTTTTTAGAAAGATGAAATTGAATTCACCTACCCAATACTTATCTAGACGAATAGAAGAGATAACTATCTTATGATTTAGATATAGGGAGGCCATAGTTAGCAAGTATGAGTAGATTATTTTTTTTAGAAAGATGAAAATTGAATTCACCTACCCAATACTTATCCAGACGAATAGAATAGATAACTATCTTATGATTTAGATATAGGGAGGCAATAGTTAGCAAGTATGGGTAGATTATTTCTTTTTAGAAAGATGAAAATTGAATTCACCTACCCAATACTTATCTAGACTAATAGAAAAGATAACTATCTTATGATTTAGATATAGGGAGGCCATTTTTACATTGAGTGATATATATAGAGTGAAAGCATTACTCCTCACTACCATTAATTTTTTCTATACGGAGTGATATATATATATATATATATATATATATATATATATATATAG